CGACTGTGGGTGATGTAATAGGATTTCTGAGGGAAGGCACCAGATTGAAACACCATTTTCTTTGTGTTCTCATTGATGCTTGCCATTTGGTGAAGAGAACATTCTATTTGTCCAGATTGGTGGACTGATGCAGAAAACAATTTTTCTGGATAATAATTTCTTTTATTAGTTAGAAGACTATGAAGTCTGAAAACTCCTAAGCAAAGGGCAAGGTTCTTTATCGGCTTTGTTCACTGATATACCCAGCCATATAGAACAGTACCTTTTTGTTTAATAAATATTTGTTGATTGAATATACTCTAGCATATCTTCAAGTCAGTAACTACAGCTTTTTCATTCTCCTGATTGACCTTTACTCTGAACAAAGAGCTCTCTGTTTGTTGGAGTATTTCTTCATTAACTAGATTATTGTTTTTCTCTAAAAACATAGAAATAATTTTCTACAGCTCCTTGATAAAAATGGTTTCTGCTTTAGGAAAGGAATACATCTTTAAATCCTAATATACTACATGGACCCCTAGCCCCTAACACACACTTCAAGTATTTATGTTGTTGCTGTTAAGTGCCATCGAGTCTGTTCTGACTCAGAGTGACCCTGTATAGGGTTTCCAAGAGTAACTGGTGAGTTTGAACGTCCGATCTCCTCATTCTAATCGACCTAGCGATCTCATGCTTTCTCTTACAGTGTCACACCAGGACTAAACATTATAGTTAAAGGTAATACTGAAAATAATTAGCATAGTATCACGAGCCTTTATTTTTTAATTTTTTGAGGGACATTGATATCATCTGGCCCAACTCTTTCATTTTAGAGTTGAAAACCACCAAAGCCTTGAAACATTGTTAGCATACAGCCACTCTGCTCATTACTGGTGGTTGCAGAAACTCAAAACCAGGTCCCCAGATTTCGGTCAAATATTCTTCCCACACATATTATAAGTAACTTGGTATTAGGGAAGACTTTTCTTCGTTGAAATTTTGACCCACCATCATGACTTCTTCAAGCAAATATTTTGCAGCACAAGCTATTCACAAAAGATTGTCCCAAATATAAAGTCAAGCACACCTCCATAGCCAAAAACTTTTTTGAAGAAGGATCTGTTCTTTCCCGGTTACTAATGCAGGGTCTGTCTATCTGCCAGTATGTATCATTTGCATTATCCATAGGTAGTCTCTTTATGCATAAAATAATTTAAACTTATTTTAATATCTTAAATTATATGTAAATGCAAATTGGCATCTGAATATGAATTGCAAAATATTCTCACATGCTAGTGTACAGACTCTTTGGGGTTATACTGCTGTACCTATGCAAACTAATGAAGTGTAGGCAGTTAGACATATTTTAAGATCAACCAGTTAATCTTAGTGTTTATGTTATAGTAGCAGCAGTAATATTTTTTTAATTAAAAATAGTTTTACATTGTTGTTGTTGTTAAGTACCCTCGAGTTAGTTCCAACTCATAATGACCCTTTATAGAGTTTTCAAGAAGCAACTGATAAGTTTGAACTTGCGGTTAGCAGTTCAGTGCTTATCCTACAGCACCACACCAGGACTAGTTTTACCATAGCAATCTGTATATTTTACAAAAAAAGAGTAGATTCTTATCTAAATTGTTGATTATCTAGATTGAAGTTTATAAGTATTTTTTGGTTTAATATTTTGTTTTTTTTTCTTTTATCTTTGCTAAAATCCATGGATTTATGCTTCTTGGAGGAAGATGTAAAAAAAACTATACATTTGCTAAAGTGAGACTCTCTAGTTTTCTCCCAGCCATCCCAGTCACTGCTGTCCATGGATGGAACCTCACAGTCTGACAGGTTATTAAGTGCCATCGAGTCTATTCCGATTCATAATGACCACTATAGTGTTTCCAAGCAGCAACTGGTGAGTTTGAACTGCTGACCTTGCGGTTCAAATGGACCTTGAGGTCAAGTGCTTATCCTGTGAAGCCACACCAGGACTCGAGTCTGGCAGTGGTATACATTAATTCACAGTGCCATAGATTAGAACAAATTATTCTCTTTTCAAATATTCCATTATATTAACACTTAATATTTTTACTGTCATTTGAACTTGCAAATATCAACTGCTGTCTCTTAAATAAGGCACTTCTCAGTATGTATCTTTCATTATTTTGTTATTCAGTATTATTCTAGCATTGTTTCTAACTTTTCCTCATTGTCCCTTTGAAAGTGAATTTACTATAAACAGAAATGGTTAGTAACCTATTTTTATTTCTCTGTTTCAAAAGCTAAATTGATAGTATCCATTGGATAAGTAGGACTCCTAGTATGGCACTATAGGATCAGCACTGGACTGTGAACCACAAGGTCAGCAGTTCAAACCCACCAACTGCTCCCTGGAAACCCTATATGAGGTCGCTATGAGTCGAAACCGACTCAACGGCATTTGATAACAACAACAACATTGTTTAAGTAAATGTATCATAAAACATTATTTTGGGAGAGCAATGCAACCATTTCAAAACCAAGGACATACTAGTTAATACTATTTTGAAATGAGTTCATAGTTTTGACTAAATAGTTTCACAGATGAAATTCGGTGATTTTAAAAGGAAAGGAAATACGAATGTGAATATTGAAATGAGCTTCTAGTTAATGATTCAAATGGACCATGTGGTCCAGTGCATCATCCTGCAGTGACACCAGGGCTCCACAGTGTCCACAGTCAGCTTAACTAATCCAACTGAGTTTTTCACAAATGATTTATTTTTTAAAAAGACAATATGAATAAAATACATGAAAACTAAATATTTGAAAATGAATTTTGTTGAAATTGATATTAGAGGTGATAATGTTTCTGTCCATATGAAATGAACTCTTGGGAGCATACTAACATAATAAGAACACAGTGAATGAAAAGCCAAATAGTTTAATTCTAAAGTTCCTCTTGTTGTTTTGTGAGACCCTAAAGTAGGTAATATAGAAAAGGTCTATATGACATACATTTGTTAGGATTTCATTTTTCTAATGCTATTTTTTAAACAGCCCTGGAAAGCATGTATAACCTTAATTTCTAAAGAGTGTAAAAATTATAAATATAGAATTTAATTGTGTAAAAGCTCTACAGATTTGGATTGATCAGACCTTTATTCATTTGTTATATGTTATGTCTTAATTTATACTAATCCATTCCTAGTATTTTACCTAGTAATATATTCCAGCATTTAGAGTTAGCTGTTTGCTTAAATGTAAGGAATTATCTTAAATTTCAGTAAATTATTTATTCAGTTATAATTAAACAAAACTATTTTGTGGTGATTTTTCTGTTGAATCTAGAGGAAAGTAGTAAAAAATAGAATCTTGAATAATTTTGATTTTTGAAGTTAGTTACTATTTGAATTATAGTAAACCATTTTAATAATTGAATAAACTAAATTTGGTACTGAAATTATCATAATCAAAAATACTCTCCTCCAACCCAATGTTTAAGGAGCTCTGGTAGCGTATTGGTTACGAATCGGGTTGTGAACTGTAAGGTCAGCAGTTCGAAACTACCAGCTGTTCCGCGGGAGAAAGATGAGGCTTTCTGGTCCTATAAAGATTTACAGCCTCGGAAACCCTGTATAGGTTCGCTATGAATCGGAACCGACTCCATGGCACCTAACAACAACCCAACGTTTGCGGGAGAAAGATGACACCTTCTGCTCTTGCAAAGATTTAAAAAGCCTCAGAAACCATGTACAGGGTCAATTTGAGTCGGAACTGACTAGATGCTACTTAACAATGACAATAACCCAACATTTGACAATTGCTAATCCTTTTTGTAGGAGTCCTGGTGTGGTGTTCTGTAGGTTAATGCTCTAGACTGCAAAGTTGGTTTGAACTGCAAGGTTAGTGGTTCAGGCTCACCAGTCACTCCTTGGAAACCCTCTACAGGGTCTCTGTGGGTCAGAACCGACTTGACAGCACTTAACAACCACAACAATCCTTTTAGAATCCTGATGTGGTGCTGTAGGATAAGCATTGAACTGCTAACCACAGGATCTGCAGTTCAAAGCCACAGCTGTTCCTCAGAAGCTCTATACAGGGTTGCTATGTGTTGGAACTGACTGGACGGACGACACTTAGCAACAACAACAAAATCCTTTTAGGGCATTTTTCAAGTAGCTTGTAGACTGAGTTTCAATACATCTTAAGAGTCATTGACTCACCTAACTACATAAATTAAGATGAGTTTTTGCACAAGACCATTTTATCTTCTATTACAAGAATATATTTCTACTACATACTAATAAAACACAAATTTTGTCTTTGAAATCTAAAATAAATTTTGAATTATAGAAAATCCATAATTTAAAATTGCTGAAGTTTTTCTTGCTACATATGACACTTGATAAGTAAATGCCTTTACCATTTTAAACAGAGCTACTAGGATAAGCACTGGACTGCTGACCACAAGGCCAGCCATTCAAATCCACTAGCCGGTCCTTGGAAATCTTACTCAGGGACTCTATGGGTCAGAACCATCTCGACATGACTTGATTTAGCAACACAATAGAAAAGGTGAAGAAAGTTGGCAGTTTTGAGATTAGGGAAATTAGACAACTGAATAATTCAATAAAAAGTATACACTCAGAAATTAATTTGTATAATGTAACCAGTAAACCTCCTCTTGAAGTCTTCACTGAGAATGAATTATCTAAATTTCATGTCTTTTTTTTATGAACTGAATGTCATAATCTTAATGATAATGCATAATTGGAAAATTTTTGTTATAGCTATCTTAGTCATCTCTAAGGTTTTTACATTTTCTTTGAAACATATTTCATATATTTTCTAAAATATAGGATAAGATTATAATCATTCTTAAAAAAATCATTTTTTTCTACCAAAAGCAGCTTCAGAGAGAAGTAGATTAATTTGTTTTATAACATTCTAGAAACTTTTTAAAATAGTGAATGTATTTTCAAATCTGTATTTTACATTGTGCTTTCTGTTTTGTTTTGTTTTTATTTATTTGTTTACTTCAATAGCCTTTTATGTCACCTCGGTACCCTGGAGGTCCAAGGCCCCCTTTGAGGATACCTAACCAGGTAAGCTTACGTGCAATTTCAGCTTTCATAGGAATCACTACAGAGCTTGGCAATGTCACAGAGCTTGTCCTATAAAATGAGTAAATATTTTATGCAGTGCTTCTTCTAGTTACATATAATTGATTTTGGGAGTCAACAAACTGCATATTCCCATGAGCTGGCTGGCTTTTTTTTTGGTAAATAAAGTTGTAATGGAATCCAGCCACATTCATTTTATTGTCTGTGACTACTCTTGCACTACAATGGCAAAGCAGAGTGCTGAGAACATAGACCACATGCTGCCTGCAAGCCTACAACATTTTACTGTCTGGATCTTCATGGTGTTTAAATAGCTCATCCATGGCCTTATGTATTACATACGTGTGAGGTTCCTGAATATCTGGAATAGGGAACTGTAAGTTGTTTTTTTTTTTAAAGTTTGTTGATAACTGATCAGTATTATTATTGCTATTGCTAAGTGCCTTTGAGTCCCTCTGACACATAGGTAACCTGTATAGGGTTTCTGAAGAGCAACTGGTAGGTTTGAATTGCTGACCTTACAGTTACCAGTTCATTGCTGCTTTTAACCTAATTTTTTTTTATGTGATTTTGATAAATGCCAATCATTCTTGCTTAAAGAATGGCAATGTATTTTATCATAGCTAAAACATTCATGTCAAATAGTTTAAATAATGGCCTACCTGGCATATAATTAGCTGCTTCTGGAAGTGTTGTATCTATTAATGAATAAATTGTTAACCTACCAATAAATCATCCACTCTTTTATTTTTTAATCTGTCAGAGTTCTGAGATTTCATAAAGATCTGATCTTAAATCATCTTTATCAATGTTTTTATGTTGTGAAGAAGAATCAAACAGAACTTTTACTTGCAAGGAGTTTACAGTTTAATTTGGGAATACAGGGAAAATGATGATGTAATTCCATAAATTAAATGCTTAATTGTATGGACTGTTTATGTCCAGACGTTTGCCACCTTCTGTAATTCTGCCATTTGCATACTTCAGGTTTATCCCAAGTCCAGTGTAAGCCTTGTCATCACAGCAATTTCTCTTTATCACTCTTAGTCTCTTTCAATTTTCTGTTTCTTTCTGGACAAAAATATAGCATAGTTGTACTTTGATGCTTGATGGCGATAGAATTCACCTTCTCCTACACTAACTCTTACTGGAATTATGCACAGTTCTTGAATTTACTCAATTTGCTGATATTCTCTGCTTTTGTGTATAGCAGGGAATGCCAGTACACAGATTTACCCCCATGGGAAAAGTTACAGGGGGAACTAGTGCTGTTTCATCTCATGGTTTCAGTGCTTGGCAGTCTTCACATAACAGCTGAAGCACTTTTCACGAGATTGAATCTGCATTCAGAACATGAGGCCAGGGGAGAAAGGCATGAAATAGCAAAGGGAAATGAACAGATGTCAAGTGTTCCAACATAGGGGAATTCTGTTTTCTCTGTGGGTGAATCTCTTTACCATGAAACCTGTAAGAGCTGAAACTCGTCGAGACTACCTTGTTTTCCTAGACCTCTCAAGTTTTCTACCTTTGAAAGGTGAAAATAAATAAATGACCACTGACCATTAGTGGAAAATATTTGAATTTTCCTTCTCTGACAGATTTCAGTCTTACGCAGATCCTAACTTGAGTATAGGTGCCTGAATCTTTTAAGTTTACATTGAAAGAACAGAAATTTACCACTTTTATTGGCATCTTCATGGTGCTTAAATATCCTGTCCTTAGCTTTGTATATTACATAGCTTTGTAAAGTTCCTGGAAATCTAAAGTAGAGAATTGTGAGATTCTTAAGAAGCGTTTTGACTCTATATATATTCTATCTTACAGATGGAAAATGTGATAGAATTGTTGGAATTATGACATGGTTGGAATACCTCCTATGTGTGCGGTTCTATGCTCTAGGTTCCATATATAGAGATAAATATATTTAAGACCCACTTTCAGGTTGGCATTAGAGGTGTAAAATTGTTCAAGGAGATTGTTTGAGTTTTGGTAAAAACAAGTATTATAATGTCTTTAATTTTTTTTTTTTTTAAGAAACAAATAGTTAAACTCAGAAAGATAAGCTAATACGGGTCACCTTTCTGCAAGAATGTTAGCCTTTACCTAAACATATTTTAAAACAAGAATATCATTCTGTGAATATCTTTTTTGTTATTGATTTCTGCTTACATAGTTACACTTCATTAATTCAGCCTCCTTCATTTAACTAAATATATCCTAAATTTACAGTATTTTTTTTCAAATCCGAGGAGCAAATTAATCGTGTTAATGTTGTAAACAGTATTGTGTGAAGAATGTTAAACCTATTTAGGAGCATGTTCTTTTCAAACAATAAAAGCATAGCTTTTGTTTCATTGATATATTCAAATTAGAATTGACAGACCACTTTTGGTGATTAATTGGAATAATGTATATGAAAACAAATTATTTTGCAACTTATTTCACATTTAAATTGATCGTAAATTAATAAAATTTGGTTTTATTTATAGAGTATGTCTTTGTTATCTAGAGCTGCCACAAATGAATGACTTTAACAAACAGGAACTTATATTCTCAAAGTTTCGGAAGCTAGAACTCTGGATTCAGAGTGCCAGGTCAACAGAAAGGCTTTCTCTCTGTCCACTCTAGAGAAAGGTCTCCTTTCAGCATTTTTGGGCCCAGTGTTCGTTTGAGATCTCCGTGTGTCTTGAGCCTTTCTCAGGCTCAACTATTGCTAGTCACCTCAGATCACATCTGGAGGAATGTTTACATCATTGCCTAAACACCAAACCACTGCAAGTCATGACCCAGGCAAGTTGACACATTTCAGAAAGACATAATTCACGCCATGGCAGAGGCCATCTAAGAAAGTAAAGAGTGAAATGTTTGCCTCGTAAATGGTGTTGATTGGTTATTTTAAGTCTTTGGAAAGGTACTTTTGGTTGCACTCTTGTATCTTCTTTTTTTGAAGGGAGTAGGTCCCTCTTCTTTTCTCTCTCCTAAGATAAAAGATGATGCAAGCCAAATCTCAGGGAAATACCCCTTACATTAGATCTGGTCCTCATTTCTCTGGCCAGCCTGTCCTCTGCCCTACATGGAAAAGTGTTACAAAGCTTTTCAGCTCTACCAATAAGTGCTCAGAGGAATCCATTCTACCTGGAAGCCTCAATCTGAAGGCATTCGGCTCTTTCACACCTTGGGTTGGAAACAGCTCTGTTGACAAGTGCCCTGAGGCATTCCACTCCTCTCACATACAGTCATACCCCCTCCATGCACACTCATTTATCAGAAAGACGGTGAGGACCATATCCTTTATTTATGGATAGTGGAATTATGAAATAAATGTTTTCTTAGTGTCACATTAAGCACGTATTCCATTTTTATTTTAAAATATATAATTGATTAATTTAATATACATAGATAAAGCACAGATACTTTTTTTTTTCTTTTTCTGGTAATTCTCATATAGAACTATCCCTGATTAGTATTGAATATTTTGTTCTCACATGATGAAAAGCCTCTTGCACAGTGACACTCAGATCTCTCACTCTGTGGCTCAGCTCCCATGCCATCTTGCTCCCATCTCCTGGTTCCGCTGCTGCCATTTCTCACCATCTATACCATATCCAGTGTTAAAAATCCACTCATTTCCTTCTGAGCCCTCACCAGAACTGCCTTTGACATCTAAATTCCACTAATAGTTTCTTCAAGGCAACTTAGGAACCACCTTAAATCTCTTCCAGCCTCTACTCATTACCCAATTCCAAACCCACTTCCTCATTTTAGGAATCTCTTAGAGCAGCACCCCTTTCCTGGTACCAAAGTTTTTGTTAGTTATCTAGTGCTGCTGTAACAGAAATACAAATGAATGGCTTTAACAAACAGAAATTCATCCTTACAGGGCTAGATGTTCTAATTTATACTGCCAGCTCAAGGGGAATGCTTTCTCAGTCCATTCTGGAGAAAGGGCCTTGTCTCCTTTTAACATCTTGGAGATCATCATGTGTCTTGGCATCAATCTTCACCTGGGTCTAGGAGATTCTCAGCACAGGGATCCAAAATCCAAAGAGCACTCTGCTCCTGAGTCTTCTTTCTTGGTGTCAGTAGGTCTCTCTCGGCTTACCTCTCTCTTTTTATCTCTTGTGAGATAGAAAAAGGGAGCACGGTAGCTCCACAGATAATCACTGGACTACAAACCACAAGGTCGGTAGTTCGAATCAACTAGCCGCTCCACTGGAGAAAGATAAGGCTTTTTGCTCTTGCAAAGATTTTAAAGACTCAGAAACCCTATGCAGGATCACTGTGAGTTAGTTGGAACCAACTTGATGGTATTTAACAACAACAAAGATAAAAAGTGATACAAGCCACAACCCTTCCTCTAACACCCACTTTGGTCTTTTCCTTCTTTCTTGTCTTGTGACCTTTGGCTTTCTTCCTGTAGGATGTTCTGGATGTCATCCCACAACTCTTCTGGCCTTTGGTCTTTAGTGTCTAATGCATCAAATCTCTTCTTCAGATGATCTCTAAATTCAGTTGGGATATGTTCTAGGTCATATTTTTTTCTCTTGTGGACTGGTTTTCATTTTCTTCAGCTTCAGTTTGAATTTGCATCTGAGCAATTGAGGGTCTATTCCGCAGTATGTCCTTGGCTTTATAAAAACATTAAAAAATGCTTTCCTTTCCTTCATGTTAGATAGTCAGAAGGTGGGGAAAAGACACACAGAAGTGGTAGAGAGACTAAATGGCCAGTACAGTTGGGACAATGGTTATATTGAATAAGTAAGTCATTGAGAAAATAAGAAACATATTGGAGATGTTGAAATTCAGGTTTTCACTGTTACAGAAAGTATTTGCAACATAGAAAGAAGTAATGCTAATAAATAACCCCAAGATGTGGATGGTAAATGGAAATGTTGAATTGATGTTAGTCTGAATTTATGATATTTATACGTACACTTGGGTACATAGGTACTCCATAATATAAGAACTGGATTCCAAACCACAAGATTGATGGTTAGAACCACCAGCCATTCCACAATAGAAAGATGAGGCTTTCTGTTCCTGCAAAGGTTTAAAACTCCTTGGAAACCTTCCACAGGGTTGCCATGAGTCAGAATCCGCTGGAAGGCATTTAACAATATACATACATACCATAAACATGTACACAGAAAGAGATAAATATAGACTCAATCATAGACATATATGTGTATGCACCTATATGTGTGTACACAGATACATATGCATAGATTCTCCAGCTCAGTATCTTTTTAAAGCAGTGACACCAAGTCATTATGAATACTCTGAGAACCAGAGCCTGATTTCTAATCACTGTCCTCCACTAAAAGAAATTGGGACCCTTTGGACAGAGGGCTTATTCCTGGGCTAGGTTAGAAAATGTCCAAGATGAACCTGTTATCACGTTTTGCTAAGTAAGAAAATGCTCAAAAATTAGTAGATGTCAAAAGAATATAATAGCACATTTGAAAGGCTCTCACTGGCCAAATCTGTAGTAATTTCAATACCAAAGTAAATAGACTTCTACCAACTGAATAAAATAGAAATCTATGCGTCTATAGTGAAATAGATAACAAAGGAAAGTTATTTCTTCCAACAGTGGAATGCCAACTAATAAGCATAGAAAGAATGATGGACAATGGACTGTCACCGTTGGGTAAATATCAGAATGTTTAGGGGTCATAGTAGAGGATAACGCTGGTGAGTGAAGGATTGTTGAGGAATAGGATATTCTCGGAATAACTTTTGTACTATAGTAATCAATTACAATGGAAACAGTAATCTTATGGAATAGAAACATAGCTAACACCAACGCTATCAGGTGGTAAAAGTTAACACCACCAACCTCGTGTGCTGCTGATATGAAGCACTGAGAAAAGCATAACATCTTTCCTGTGATACTCCTGCCAGGAAGCATGACATAAGGTGGGTCATGAAAACCATCAGAATTTAAAGCCTAGTCTCTTTGAAACTGATAAAAATAAGGAACATAGGGGAAACTACGGAACTGTTGATGTCTAAATGCATGTGTTCCATGGGATCCTGGTCCTGACAAGGAAAAGGGAAAATTGTTGAGACAAATGGTAAAAAAATGTATGAGGTCTACAAACTGGATTGTAGTTTTTTGTCTGTGCTGATTTCCTGACTTGAAGTTTGTATTGTGGTTATGTAGGAAAATTGCTTTGCTTTGGGAACTATACAATGCTTAGGTATGATGAGGCATCATGTTTGCAACTTGCTTTCAAGAGGTTCCAAAAACTTCATGATAGCAGGAATAGTGCGATAGAGAAACAGGGTACAAGGGAAAATGTGATGAAATGTATGGAGAATCTGAGTAAAGGCATATAGAGATTGTTTGTTCTGTTTATGCGTTTTTCCTGTACATATGAATTTTATCTTTTTTCATATTTTTAAAGCATATTTACAAGAACTTAGCACAAACTGGGGCTATATGACACAATATTTTTCAGGGAGTGATGACTAAACTGCTTTCTTTAATATAAGTTGACAGTGGTCACTGAAAGGTTTGTAAACCACTTGAAGATTATTTTGTTTGCTTGCTTAAACTGTTTAAATGATCTGTTTTTAATGATTGGCATTTAGATGCTAGTCAGTTGAATACATGAATTGAAGAAACTGGAAGAAGTTCGGTTTGACTAGAGGTTAGGTAGTGAGTGTGGCAAGAAATCAGGCTAGAATGGTAACCAGGAACAGATCATATAGTAAGAACTGAATATGTATTGAGTATGCTTATAAGCAAAAAGATTTTAATAATGGATTGAGAAATGGATGTTTTCTATTGAATCTCAATATAACAAGTCAACATCCTCATCTAGATATCTAAGTTCTTTAATGTTAAATTTCTTTTGAAGTACTTGAAAAATTTAATTAGTTAAGACAGAATTTATCCTCCTTTAAGTTAAATTAGTGAAAATTTGTAGCAATTCTTACCAATTGTCAGGATGTTTTGTGTATGTGCGTAAATATGTGTTCTATTGGATCATCAGAATGAATCTTTCATAGCTTGATCTACTACCCGCAAACACCCATCCAAAAGCTATATATAGAAATTTGTGAGACAGTGATAACCAGATTGTGCCCCAGCACAAAGCCCCAAGCTTTTCTGATAATCTCTGTCTTTTTTCAACTCTTGTTCTCCTTTTCCATAAGCAAATTTATGAACATATTGGACTATTATTTTTCTAGTAATATTGAAGTATTATTTTTCTAATCATTTCATAGGGAAAAAATGTGACCACAGAAAATATTAACAGACCTCTAACCTTTAGTTCTGTTGTTATTATAATTCCAAGTGAGCAGAATATGTTCTAGAAATAGAGAATTTTAAAAGATTTGTTAAAGGGTTTGAGAAATGGCAGGTTTCTATTATATCTCAATATGACAATTGTCAACATCCTCATTTGGATATCTCTTAAGTTCTTTAGTGTTAAATTTCTTTTGAAATACTTGAAAATTTTAATTAGTTAAGACATACATTTAAGAAGCAAAATCTGTTATTGTAGTATACGTAGTAAAGTAGTTTTTGGAAAAGGCATTATACTTCTTAAAAATAACTAGGCTATTTCTTGCCTAGATTTTTGTTCACAACAAAAATTGGACAAAAGTAGGATCCTTTTAGAATTGAAAACTAGTACTAGGTCTTTAGACCTATAAAATATATAAATGAATGTGAAATATGAGAAATCTTGAAAAATATGCAAATATATTCTATAATTGTATTGCAGGAAGAATATTTTAATTTTAAAGGGGAATTTTTAAAGCATGGATTTGATAAGTATTTACAATATGTCTCATGTGTTACTTTATTAAATGTACTAGGCACTTGGAGGTGTCCCAGGAAGCCAGCCATTACTTCCCAGTGGAATGGACCCAACTCGACAACAAGGTGACTGCTCTGAAGTGAAAGTGACATTGATGTGCTGAAGCTCAGAGGAAATCCATTATTTTTTTAAGGCAAATTTGTATAACTCTCCTGTTATTGCACCTGTTGCATTTTTGCTGGTAATGTGAATAAATGGTTTATATTTCCGGTTAACTCTTAATTATATACCAAAGTTTTTGCTAATTGCTATTAAGTTCACTCAAACTCATAGCAACCCCGTGTTTATGCAGTAGAACTTTTCCATTGGGTTTTCAATGCTGTACAATAGCGAGGACAGTGAAATCTTAAGAAAAATATATAATTTATATAAAAGTCCGTATTTTAACTAATAAATTCATGAAACATTTTACGTAACTGCTTATAAAGGGTATTGAGGCACTTGTCTTATCATTCGTCTTATCAGTGTGCCTACTCTTTTCCATTTGGAGTGGTTGTTGTTGTAGAATGCCTTTGAGTAGGTTCCAACTGTAGCAATCCTATACAGGACAAAATGAAGCAGTAGCCAGTACTATGCCATCCTCACAATTGTTAATTTTGAGCCCAGTGTTGCTGCCACTTTGTCAGTCCATCTCATTGAGGTTCTTCCCCTTTTTCACTGACCCTCTACTTTCCCAAGCATGATGTCCTTCTCCAGGGACTGGTCCCTCCTAACAACATGGCCAAAGAATGAAACATGAAGTCTCGCCATCATTGCTTCTTAGGAGCATTCTGGATGTTCTTCTCCTTCAACACCATAATTCAAACACGTTGATTATTCTATAGTCTTCCTTTGTCATAATCCAACTTTTCCATGCATATGAGGTAAATAAAAATACCAAGACTTGGGTGACGTCCACCTTAGTCCTCAAAGTGAATCTTTGCTTGTAACACTTTAATGTGATCTTGTGCAGCAGATTTGTCTAATGTAGTGTGTGGTTTGGGTTCTGGATTGCTGCCTCCATGAGAGCTGATTGTGGATCCAAGCAAATTGAAGTCTTTGACAGCTTCAATCTTTTCTCCATTTATCAGGACGTTACTTATTGGTCCAGTTTTGAGGATTTTTGTTTTCTTTACATCCATACTGAAGACTGTAGTCTTTGATTTTCATCAGTAAGTACTTCAAGTCCTCTTCAGTCCCAGAAAGCAAGGTTGTATCATCTACATATTACAGGTCGGTATGAATCTGCTATCAAGCCTGATGCCGTGTTCTTCTTCATATCATCCAGCTTCTCAGATTATTTGCTCAGCATACAGATTGAATAAGTATGTGAAAGGTTAGAACCCTGTCCCACACCTCTCCTGATCTTAAACCATTCAATATCCCTGCTTCTGTTTGAATGACTGCCTGTTGCTCTATCTACAGGTTCCTCACGCGCACAATTAAGTGTTCCAGAATACTCATGCTTCACAATGTTATCCATAGTTTGTTATGATCTACACAGCTGAATGTCTTTTCATAATCAATAAAATTCAAGTAAACTATTTTCTGTCTGCTTTTCACCAAGATTCATCTGGTGTCAGCAGTGATATCCCTAATTCTGCATCCTCTTCTGAATCTGGCTTGAATTTCTGGCAGCTTCCTGTTGATGCTACAACTGTTTTTAAATTATCGTTAGCAAAATTTCATTTGCATGTGGTATTGATGATATTGTTCAAAAATTTCCACATTCCTTCGAGTCACCTTCCTGTGGAATGGACACAAATATGAATCTCTTCCACTAGGTTGACTGGGTAACTTTATTCCAAATATCTTGGCATGGATGAGTGAGAACCTTCAGTATTGCATCAGTTTGCTGAAACATTTCAATTTGTATTCCAACATTTCCTGGAACCTTGTTTTTCATCAATGCCTTCAGTGCAGCTTAGACGTCTTCCTTCATTACCACTGATTCTTGATTATATGTTACCTCTTGAATGGTAACCAATTCTTTTTGGTGCAGTGACTCTGTATTCCTTTCATCTTTTGCTGCTGCCTATGTTGTTAGTATTTTATCCTTCAGTATTGTAAGGTGATGCTTGATGTTTTTCTTCAGTTCTTTCAGCTTGAGAAATACTGAGCATGTTCTTCCCTTTTGGTTTTTTAACTGCAGGTCTTCGCACATTTCATTATAATGCTTTACTTTGTCTTCTCAAGCTTCCCTTTGAAATTTTCTGTTCAGCTCTTTTATGTCCTCATTTCTTCCATTTGCTTTAGCTCACCTTTGCTCAAAAGTAGGTTTCAGAACCCCTTCTGACATCCATTTTGTCTTCTCTTTCTTTCCTGTGTTTTTAATAACCTTTTGCTTTCTTCATGTATAAGATTCTCGATTATCATCCCACAATTCTTCTGATATTTTGATCTTCAATCATTAGTGTCTAAAAGATCAAGTCTGTTCTTAAAATTGCCTGTAAATTCAGGTGGGATATATTTAAAGTCATTTTGACTCTTGTGGACTTCTCATTTTCTTCAACTTCAGTCTGAACTTGTATATCAGCAATCGATGGTCTGTTCCAAAGTTAATCTCTGGCCTTACTTTGACTGCTGACATTATGTTTCTCCTCCACAGTTGTAGTCAATATGGTTCCTGTGAATTCTATCTTGTGAGGTCTGTTGGTATCATTGCCTTTTATGGTGTTAAAAAAAGGTATTTGCAATGAATAAGTCATAGGTCTTGCAAAATTCTATCATGCAATCTCAGAATTGTTTCTGTCACCAAGACCATATTTTCCAAATACTATTGTTTCCAACTCTGCAATCCAATCACCAATAATTATCTGACTGAAAAAGTTGATAGAATTCTTCAATTTTGTCACCTCTGGCTTCAGTGGTTGGTATGTAAATTTTAATAATTGTGGTAGGCAGCATATGACTATTATCCTATCACAGACAGCATTATACTTCAAAGTAGATCTTGAGATGTTCTTTTTGATGGTGAATGTGATGTCATTCCTCATCAATTTGTCTTTTTTGGCATAGTGTGCCATATAGTAGTCTAATTGAAAATGGCTTCTATTTCAGCTCAGTAATGCTTAGGATATTGATTTTGTTGTTGTTGTTAAGTGCCATCGAGTGGGTTCCAACCCATAGTGATCCTGTGTAGGGTTTCCAAGGAGTGACTGGTGAGCTTGACCCGCCAACCTTGCAGTTCAAACCGACTTTGCAATCTGGTGCATTAACCCACAGTGCTATGTCATTTCCAGCATAGTAAGCCATATAATAGTCTAACTCAAAATGGCCAATAGCAGTCCATTTCAGCCCAGTAATGCTTAAGATTATGATCTTAGTCCACCTTAAAGATAAGAAGGAAAAGATCAAGCAACACGAGATCTCATTAGTTCAACAAACTTACATAGCTCCTCTTTCTTTTGGCATTGTATAATGCCAAAAGAAAGAGGAGCAAGTGGTGTGACAAAAGAAGTTCCAACCACAAAACAGAAATCGGGAATGTGAGTAGATAGTGGTTAAAGTGGCCTTGGAAGTGAAGAAGATGGTGTCAATAATTTCATCTCTTTGCAAATAAGATATTCTAATATCAGACAGGGAGGAGGATAGTAGGTTCTAGTTTAGCCCTCATTCTCATGACATTGTTGACATCCTCATACTTCTCTTTTTCCTTAGGACATCCAAATATGGGTGGGCCAATGCAGAGAATGACTCCTCCAAGAGGAATGGTGCCATTAGGACCACAGGTAAATTCATCAGTGCAGAAGCTTAGATTTGCCTTTACCTTCTAAGAAGCAGTGTTGTTTGCTGCATTTTATTGTATGCATTGACATAACATGGTTGTTAGATTTTTGAGAACATAGTAACTGTAACACATCCAAATCAGTGAGATAACCAAAAATATTGTAAAAGATGTCATCACAATATACCTTTGGTTTATTTGTGAAAATATACTGTGTAAAAATACGTTATAAAAAAGACGGTACTTTTGGTTAGTTAATGCTGAGGATGTGGTTATTTTAAGTTGAAACAATATTCACTGAAAATACTACATAAAATAAGCATAAAATATATTTTCATAACTCAGGTAAAGAATGCCATTGATAATTTATTATGTAGAACCATATTTCTTTATAGATGATGAAAACATTTGGGAACCATCTATGAACAAACTTTATTTTTTATATCATTCTTCCTCCCTTACTTCTTTAGCATAAGTCTCAATCCATGTATCTATGCACAGAACACTGTTGTTCCTAGGTTGTGTGTCTATCACTATTTACTTCCAGACTCTTTAGCCCATGTATTAACTGCCTGTGTCTTCACCTGTCTTCGTCATTCTTCTGCCAACCTCCCTATTCTTGTATATTGCCTCCCCCATCACCAGAGCTAACATGTGTCTACCCTCTAGCCAATGAATTACTCTCTCCACTCTCCCACCCCTGGTAACTACCAAAGAATGTTTTTTTAAAATATGAAAACCTTGGATCTCCTTTACAGCATTCTATCATTATACATTAGATGTTAGTTTGCTTCTTCACCACATTTCCCAGAAGTATACACTGAATTTGAGCCAGACTTAGCTAGCTTTGGTGATATTTTGAGTGCACTGTTCCAGAATATCATTTATTTTAGATAAAGCATCCTTACTTTTTTTATTTCCTTGAGAAAACTGCTTTTAAGATACAATTAATTTCATAATGTTGTAATAAAAAGTAATCTAAAATTCAGAGTTTTACATTTCTGTCTTATGGGTCAGACATTAGACTATCTTAAGGCTGATTAATAAAATGAATTAATTTATTTCCTTTTCCCCTTTCAAGTACAGCATTATTATGGTTTGTCTGTTTTTCCTTTTAGAGGATATATTATTGCATTGTTTAGAAATGAAAACATTATTATTATTTATCATACTGCAAATTCATTTTGGATGCTATGCTTGAGGGACTTTTTGGTCTTTTATTGCCTTATGCTGAAATAGTATTTTAGGTGTTTAATAGCTTATTTCATTGTGTATTTATAATTTATCCATCAATACTTATATTTATTTATAGTATTTATATTATATTATAGTTATTTAAAGATCACATAGTGGTCTCATTCTTTTAAATCTTGAACATTTTAATGCTTTTAGAATTGGTAGCTTAAAATTTTTACCTTAGACAGAACCATATGAAATAAATTAAATTTGACCATTTTAACTTACAACAGCAATTTCATATAATTCAATCCAGTACATAGCAAATGCCTGTGCCTAATTAAAACAAAAATTTTAAATGAACTAAATGGTTTCCTGGAAATTTTAGATAAGTATTTCTAAAATATTAATGTTTTGTTGTAACCGCCCCCCTTAAGGGGTCAGAATTAATATCCAGTAATCTCAATTAACATCTAGATTTAGTCCTAAGAGTTTCTAACCAACATGTAATAATATATAGTATATTAATTCTTTTGAAACATGCTCATATAACCAACTATTTTTTAATTCAAGCTCAGTTCTTTCCTATTTATTAAATTAAGAGTAAATCCTCTAACTCCATTTAGATATTTAAAGTATTTTTCTCTATTTTGTCATTAAGCCATTAATAACAAACTTTATTAGATCTGTAGTTTATCTCATTGCTTGAATGTACTTTCAGTCAACTAAATTAACCAATTTGGTTGCATAGAACTTTAAGGTATTTTTCTAAAAGATTTTCCTAATAGACAAATTTGAAATACAGATTACAGGCAATGGCTAAAATGGAACATTCGATGGTGATTCTTTTTCAGCTAACTGTTCTTTAGGCTTTTCTCATTCCCAGACCAATATTCTTAATACACTTTGAAAACTAGCGCCTTATTTTGAGAATCCCTTTTTCAGTATCTGAGGACATATAACAATATAGGCATACTTAGATGTCATTTGAAAATACAGAACTAAAAAGCATACTGGTCTGTATGCTTTATATTGTAAACATCTAGCTATATGTTTTGTGCGATAAGTAAAAAAAAAAAGTGTGTAACACTTCTGCTTCAGGTGAGTAATCTACTGGTGAACTTTAATAACTAAATTTATTTTGAAAGCATTAATTGTCTTTTCAAATACAAAAAGAGAGTTTATTTCCTCTCACTTGGATTAGCTATGTAGGTTGAAGGAAATTAAGTATTTTGGGAGGAATTTAACTCAGAAACCAGAATGACCTACAGTAGCTTTTTAAAATCACCAAATATGCAAGTATAAAAGAGTAATGGAAATTATATATACATAACATGTATTGGGGAGCTTAGTGGCGCTGTACAATAAGCACTGAACTGGACCCAAAAGGTTAGCAGTTTGAGCCCACCAGCCACCCCAATGCAGAAAGGTGAAGCTTTCTGTTCCCGAATAGATTTACAGCCTCAGAAACCCTACACGAGGTCACTATGAGTTGGAACAGACTCCACAGCACTAGCAGCCATAACAACATATATTCAAATAAAGCAAGAGTTATATTCATTTAAATGGTACAATAGGAAAAAAAAGTCAGCTAAAATCATTTGAAATGGGGTGCTCTTATGAGATTTATTTCATATCTATTAGTATATAAGGAATCCTGGTGTGGCGCTATGGGTTAATGCACTGGACGGCAATGTCGGTTTGAACCACAAGGTCGGAGGTTCAGGCTCACTAGCCATTCCTTGGAAACCCTATACAGGGTTGCTATGGGTTGAAACCGACTCAACAGCACTTAACAACAACAACAACATTCATATATAAAGAATATTCATTATAAACTTGTGTGTTTTGTGATAAGGTTAGCTGTTTCTTAAAAGATAATGGAAATAAATCTAAAAGATACTTAATCATATATATAGATGCTACCCAAGAACAAAGTCTGCCTGCCATATTGTATTGAATTATAGAAAGTTTTTGGAATGTTGTTTTTAGCTTTATGGACAAACAAAATACACATCTTTTTATTATATCTATTACTTCTATCATTTTCTGAGTTTAAGATTAATGTGGTAAAGGTGGGGACAATGTTTATCTATTGGAACTAATGAATTCCTAGAACAGAGAAATAGATATAGATGGATAGATTCCTGAATATTGCTTATTTAAGCAGAATGTACACTTAGAACATAATAAGCATATAAGTAATAATACATAGATCAGCAAGTGGAAGTTTGCCTCCAAATCCTGGCATATTGTTCCTACCCCTTAATCTATTTTAGATCTAAATAGAGTAGTAGCACATGATTTTAAAACTGACATTAGAAACCTTTCAGTAGAAAAGCAAAATGTTTTTATTAACCAAGAAAAACATCTTTCTTATTTTATATGTATTTTTTTTCTATTTGCTTTCCTAATAAGATGTAATTAACTAGACTGTTCTTAAGTTCAGTTAGTGCCGTATGAGTAACAGAAAAATGCATCCAAGCTTCACAACTAGCTCTAGCTCCTCTAGAAATCTAAAGGATTGGTAATACATACAAGTAGGAGCATACCATCATTTTCAATCATATATTTGGTGTAGAGAAATGATGAGGTGGAAATACATGATGGGTTGTCAGGTGAACAAAGAGTAGATTGATTCTGTATTTTTAAATCTAAGTTGAGAGTTAGAGTTCAGCTCATTACAAGAGAGAGCTTTCTAGGAATTAAACTGTCCAATCATGGAAAAAACTTTGCATAAACTTCCCAAGCAGATTCGGAACAGCCACTTTGCCAGGAACATTGCATTGGGAGAGAGATTAGAGCAGATGGAATTGTTATAGCTACCATCAGCTTTGAAATTCAGCAATTCTAAATTAGTTCTCCCATTCTGCCTTTGCTGTTAGCATTTTGAAAGCCTATTGTCACTCTTTCTTATCTCCCTGATAACTTTTTGCTTAAGTTCAAAAATATTTTGTTCATCTATCAAGATATATAAGGAGCCCTGGTGGCACAGTGGTTAACGTGCCCAGCGGCGCAGCCAAAGGTTAGTGGTTAGAACCTGCTAGCCACCGCACAGGAGAAAGATGTGGCAGTCTGCTTCTGAAAAGAAGACAGCCTTAGAAAACTTTGGGGAGCAGTTCTACTCTGTCCTACAGAATCGCTATGAATTGAAATTGACTTAATGGCAATGGATTTTTCTCGTTAAAAATGTTCTTACTTATTCTTTGTGATAATTCAGTCTAATTAATCAATCCTACTATGTGCCAGAAACCATACCTGAATACTGGGTATGTATACCCATAGGTGAGTAAACAAAGTCCCTTCCTTCAAGGTGTTTATGGTTTAACAGGAGATGCAGACACATAAAGGAAAACTATTATTTACTAGAATAAAGTCTTGCATAGATATATGCCATGAAATTATTAGATAAGCAAGCAAACTATTCTGTTAGGGTTGGAGGCTCAAGAAAAGCGAACAAGATGAGGATTCATTTAAATCAACTAGTGCCTTATTGAGGGTAATAAGCAATAGCTGCTACCATTTTTGAGCATCATGCACCATGCACTTAATGCACCAAGCACTTTGATAGGTGCTTTTTATGAATTCATTTTGTCTTCCAACTGCCTTTTAAAGGAGATGATATTATCACTTTACAGATAAGGAAATTAAGGTTAAGAGAATCATGACCCAAGATCATACAGGAGAAAGAGGGCCAGAGGAAGCAGGAAAATGATAATAAAGATTCAAACCAGGATCTTTACTTAGAGATATAAGGAAAATTGATAGCTTTCATAATAAAACAAACAGATACTGTCAGACCCACAGTGAAGGGAGATTACCGTTGTAAAGCATTTCTATTTTATCATTCAGATTTTGTTCCCAGTGACTAACTTTCTTCTCAGATACCCCTTGCTTATACTGCTACTGCCATCATACTTGATGCAGAGGTTAAAGGAAATTGCTAGCCCTTTAACTGATGGGTTGAGTGAGCAGAGACCATTCTGAGTTCACATAGAACACAAAAATTGGGATGTTTAAGTAAGATTTTCTTAAAGTATAAGTAAACAAACAAAGAAATCAACTTGCCACTAAATAATTGGATTTAGTAACTGGCTTACTCTCTTGAGTTAACAGACCTAGCTCATTGTATATTTTCTTATGGTCTTAACACTTAGACTCAGCAGACAACTTAGATGAGTCAACATGAGTTTAAAAGTGTGTTGAGTGTGTCTGAACTCCTGAAGTGCAGTATGCTGGAGGATGTGGTTCAGAGTAGAGGAAGAGGTGAGGCTTGTAAGAAAGGAGAACAGGAAAGATTGTCTGGAATCGAGCTGTGAATAATTTCAGAAAGTCATACTGCAGAGTTTTGACTTTATTTAATAAGTGACTTTAAAAGGTAGTTTGGCCGTCATGGCGTTTTAGATGGTATGAATAGAACTGAGCCTTTAAAAGATAGCTCTGAAGGCATGTGGAGAACACACTGAACCTATTGAAAGGAGAATACTAAGAGACAAATGAAGAACCAAGGTAAATGACAGTTTACTGATAGAAAAGCGAGTGTTTTAGAGCTAGTTGACTGGTAGAATCAATAGACTTTCGTGACTGACTAGATATGAGAATTGAAGGAAAAAAGGAGGAGACATCAAGATCTCCTAGAGGTTCTTTGTCTGAATTGTTATGTGGAAGGTGATGTCATCCATCAAGTGGCTGAAGAAGGCACTTAAAGAATACTCCTGAGAAGATAATACTGAGTTTACTTCTAGATATGATGCATATGAGGTGGTATCCTAATGGAAATGACCCAACAGAAGTCTACTGAAGCATACAATTCATGCAAACATATTTGAACACAGTTTTAATTTTCACATGTTTTTATGAATTTATATACTAGTACATTTCTGTGTGGTATTTTGTGGACAGAAGTTTGTATTCAACATTTGGGGGTTCCTATTTTGTTTTTATGTGATTTTCAATGATCTGACAGTTTCAAACATGTTAACTGAATCTTCCCTTTAAAAACAAGTTTAAGATTTAAGAATGTTTTCTGTGAAAAAATTTACTATTGTCCAGACATTAGGGTATCAATAAATATATTGACTGTTATTATTGCAGCTATATCTTAATCATTTAACATGTTCCAATGGTCGTATATATTCACAGTTTTTAAATACACAAACCAAAGTAATAGTTAAGATAGTAGCAAAAGTACAAGAATGGAACCTTCAGAGAATGAATTGCACAGGCCTTATCCAATCAGAAGTTATGTAGGGAAATGATTAACCTGCTCTCCTTTCTTTCCCCCCTCCTCTTTGGTTTTGTTTTTTTGTTTTGTGGTAGTCTGACCCTTGGTTATCATTACAGAACTATGGAGGTGCAATGAGACCCCCACTGAATGCTTTAGGTGGCCCGGGAATGCCTGCAATGAACATGTAAGCAAAATGCTATATTATCCTGTCCAGTGTAATGTTACATTTTCAGTTTACTAAAACAACACTAATTTGTGAAATGATTAGCGTTCCTAAAGCCCTGTATAGTGTAAAAATGAACTAACCATGAGCTATAGTGTTTGCTTCATTTTCACATGTCCTCTGTGTTTTTCTTCCTTCTCTCGCAACCATCAGATTTTTATTTATCTTTTTCAGGTGCCATCAATGTTAAATTTTAGCCTGTTGCTTGTTTATTTTCTTGTTTTATTTGTTTAGTCATCACAGAAATGAGTCGTCAAAGTAATCACGTAGTCACCCTATAAATGTCAACACCATAACCATGATTTAGCTACAGAAGTAGATAACTGAATGTCTTTAACCTCATTCTAACAAATGTATAGCGATTACTAAGAGTGGAGTGTCTGGTATATAAAAATACTTGTGTCTTCACGTTTGCTGTGTCAGGACTACTGTTATCCCAGGAGGAATTCTATCTGGTGGTATCTTTCATGTTAAAGCTTTCCTTGGTATAGGAAAATTTTTCTTTTAAAAATTTGTGTTGCACTTAAGTAAGGGATACACTAAGTGCGTTCACGGAATATGCCTTTTCAAATCTAACGAAATTAGTTTGTTTCTACCATTTAATGAAATTTGTTAGGAAATTTTTTACTCATTTTTCATTATCCAACTTACTTTCAAAATTCTGTATATCTCAGGTACTTGTTAGTGATATCAATTCACTGTAAGATCAGTTGTATGATGTGGCCTAAAGAAATCATGAAAGTGTTCTTCCTGGGGTTGTGGGCTAGTCTTCTCAAATGTATTTTCTGTCAACCATGTTTGTTGTTAACTGACATATTAAATTAAATAGTAGTAGACATCATTTAATGGCATTATAAATATACACGATGTAAGTTCTTTTGATATACAAAGTGTTTTTTCTTTTTAAGTTTTCAAAATCATTTTCCTGGAAAGCAGTTTTGCCTTAAATAGAAAGTAGGTTAATAGGTGGGTACCATCCAGACTCTTAACAGAATAAGAGAAAAAGTAGTTCAAATTGTCCTATCATGTCTTTTCACTTTTAAGGTAAAAATAGATAGGTAAGAAGTCTGACTCTTCTTACATTCTCCAAAGGCTTACTTACCCTTTTGTAATGGTTACTACAAAAAAGAATGAATGATGCATTGTGCTAATAATGTCAAAGGCAGTAACTCTTGCCTGTAGAATGGGAACGTATTAAATTTACCTACCTGAGAGTCTCACTGTAAAATGCAGCAGATATGAGTATGCATTTTTAATACTATGATCAACTCAGAATTATCATTAAATATTAAGAGTTTCTCATTCTGTAAAAAACTCTGCATTATGATTGGCTATAGATACAACTTTAAATCCAACATGTTTTGGTAATTGTTGTTGTTGTTGTAGTGCCATCGAGTCAGTTCTGACTTATAGTGACCCTGTATAGGGTTTCCAAGGAGTGGCTGGTGGGTTTGAACCACCACCTTGAGGTAGATTGACCTTGCAGTCCAGTGCTTATCTTACAGCGTCACACCTGTAGGGAGGAAAAAACCATTTGATATAAACTATTGTTGTTTTGTGCTGTTGAGTCTATTTTGACTTATAGCAACCTTTTATAGGGTTTCTGAGAGTGGCTGATGAGTTTGAATTGCTCCCCTTGTGGTTAGTAGGCTGCATCTTATTCTACAGTGCCACACCAGGGTTCCTGTAACTATTGTTATTGTTGTTGTGTTGAGTTGGTTCTGACTTATAGCAACCCTATATAGGGTTTCCAAGGAGTGGCTGATGTGTTTGGACTGCCAACCTTCCATTAGCAGTTCAGTGCTTTTCCTACAGCACCACATGAGGACACCATGTGACCACTAGGAAACGCAAGTCAATGCTTAAAATTATCTAGTTCCATTCTCACATATACTTAAGCATATGTGGTGGTGGTCATGTGCTGTAGAGTCGGTTCTGACTCATAGCAACCTTGTACAGGGTTTCTGGGGCTGTGAATTTTTACGGGAGTAGAAAGCCTCATCTTTCTCCCTTGGAACGGCTGGTAGTTTTGAACTGCTGACCTTGAGATTAGCAGCCCAATTCGTAACCTGTGTGCTTGTTGTTGTTGTTGTTATGTGCTGTGGAGTCAGTTCCAACTCATAGCCACCCTGTACAGGGTTTCCGAAGCTGTGAATCTTTACAGGAGTAGAAAGCCTCATCTTTCTCCCTTGGAACAACTGGTAGTTTTGAACTGCTGACCCTGATGTTTGCAGCACGATTTGTAACCACTATGCTACCAGAGCCTCCTTAAGCATATGTACATGGTACATTTAAATTTCTAGACTAAGGAGAATAAAATTTAGTGTCAAAAATTTAATATGTGTTGATATTTGAGTTAGGGACTCTTATTTATATGTACTTGGATTCCTTGAGATTATTTTCATTACGTAATATTTTGCTATTTATATTATCAAATACAAAAAAAAAGCTTAACAAAACTGAATCTTACAGACTCAGATTTCCATGGTTTGTTACTATTACCATTTACTTAGAGCCACACACCGTTTTTGTTTTCTATAAAGTAGTGTTCCTTCAAGAACACTGAAAACGTAAAGTCTACATCAGGGAAGGCTCTATGCAATGGAAGATAGAACCAGAGAGAATTCTTCTTATATTGATATTAGCCCCTGCAAAGCAAAAGTGAGTTTCAAGAGACAAAAAAACAAAAACAAAAAACACATTATCTGCATCATACACAATAAACTTTATTGAAGTTCACTTCATAATTTAATCCTCTTTAAAACACAGTAAGTCTTACTTTGTGCAAGGTAAGTATTTCTGATTGTAGTGTTTTGTGACTTTTTTTCATGTCATATTTACATGGTGGACACCTTAAAAAGTAAAGGAAAATGCATTCATTAGAATTGTGTTACTTACACTGTGTTTGCCCTCTCAGTCTACTGTATGTGTGGGGGGGTCAGGGTGAATCTGATGAACAATCCTATCGTAATCATTTATCTTTCTCTTGTCACTTTTTATCATTTACCAGGAGAGTTTCAATGATAATAAAAATATCCAACCCTGGTCATTAAACAAAGTAATTGAAGACTTTATTTTTCACTGGAAACTATCACTATAGCATTAAGTATTTGCAACAAAATTTTGATAATTTTGCTTCTAAAAATATTGGCTTCCTCCATAGCAAATGGTTATTTTGATAACAATCTTTACATTTCCATGTTGTTAACACAGGATAAATTGCACAAAGTGTCACTTAAAATTAAAAGTATGTTTTTATTATTTGTATAATTAAAAGGTTAACATAAATAAATTAATTTCACTATAATATGAAGTGTTAATGTTCATTGAACTCATTTAAAGTAGAATTTATAAAATAGTGTCACAATGTAAATGTTTTCAAATGCGTAATAGATTATTTTTAAAGGAAACGAATATTGATACGCATCTATATTAACTACATTAAGAATTTAGAATACAACATTAAAGTATTTCTAATTTAACTTTAGTACCTTGCTGTTTTATAGAAATTAAGATTACAAAAAGATTACAAAGGGTCTTCTTGCTGTATATCATTTCCTCTAGAAAGATAATGTTTGACAGTTATTATCTTGAAATACAATGCTTGTGAATTACAGAGATTCAGAGAATTAATTAACCCACCCCCTTTGGTAGTCACTTTTACTTTGGTTTTATCATATGTATATACCCTACCAAAATATGCAGATTTCTTTAAATATCATTTTTCTCTTTGTGTTTAAATAAGGAAGGCTAACCTGGTTTAAATTCAAACTGTACTTATGTAGAAATTTTCATTTAAAATTTATTTCTTTCATACTTTCTTGGTAATACTGACAGATTTCAAAGCAAGTGTGAATTACTGATCTTAAATAGTTGTTCTAATAGAACTTCTCACTCTTAAAATTCCCACTTCATTCAGTGAAATTGAAAATGTGTTTCAAAGACAGTGACAGTGTTAGGTGAAATGTATCTATCAACATGAATAATTGATATTTATCCTACTATATTAAAATATAATCTAATATAAAATAATAGTTTATCAAATAATCAAATGCATAAGTTATTTTTTGTGTTATTTTAATAGGTCTTATTTTACATTATTTTAATAGGTCTTATTCATACAGTCCTGATTTAAGTATAATATTTAAAATTTTGAGGTCATTATTTACATATCTTAAGTTTATGTAAATCTTTGACATAATTTGTAAAGGGTATATTTTTATGTTATCTGAAGATGAATGTTTCCCAATATTCTGTATCTCTCTACTGTGTTTCACTTATCATCAAACACATCATGTGGATAGGTTTTACTGCCCAAATGCTTTACATGATCAGCACATACCCTGTGTTTTAATTTCTGTCCATAGAGGCATTGACTCCTGTATGTAGCATCATCTTTCTCATATATTCCAGTACCTTACTATAAAACAATTGTTTTTGTTGTTAAGTGCTGTCAATTCGATTCCTACCCATAGTGACCTTGTATAGGGTTTTCAAGGAGCAGCTGGTAAGCTTGAACCACTGAACTTGCAGTTCAGATGACTTTGCAGTCTGACGCAGTAGCTCACAGCACCACACCAGGACTCCATGAAACAATTATAAAATGTTAATCTTGGAAAGGCATCAGTTTCCACAGACGACATAAACTCCCCTCACCATCTCCTTATGTGATACTTTGGTCAAGTTGCCTCTGGAAATCTTACCTTTCCCTAGTAATACTCAAGCCAAGTTGGGGAAAATTCCACTTGGGCCTTGCTAAGAGAACCTAAGGACAGAGTAGAGTTCATGTATCTCTGTACAGTTTACACTCTTTCCAAAACCAAATCCACTGCCATGGAGTCAGTTCCAACTCATAGCAACCCTGTAGGATCAAGTAGGACTGCTCAGTAAAGTTTCTAAGACTAAATCTTTATGGGATCAGACAGCCTTATCGTTCTCCTGTGGACAGACTGGTGGGTTTGAACCACCAGCCTTGCAGTTAGCAGCCCAGCACTTAACCCATTGCATCACCAGAGTCTCTTCATACCCCTTTGTTGTTTGCCATCGAGTCAGTTCCGACACATAGCAACCCTGTGTAGGGTTTCTAAGGAATGGCTGGTGAGTTTGAACTGCCTACCTTGCAGTTCAAGCTGACCTTGAGGTCGAGTGCTTATCGTACGGCACAATACCAGGACTCCTCGTACCTCTTACAGAACCCAAAAGAACGAAAAATAGTTCTAAATGTTTATAAGACATGAGTAATGTAGTAATTAAGTTGGATAACTTTTTGTGTAACACTTAAAACTTTAGGTAAGGTCTCTACAATAAGAACTAGGGAAAATGTGTTCTTAATTTAAAATGTTCATTGCAGTAGTTATTATAGAAAAAGGAATTTTGAGTGACCGGTTCAAGCTCACCAGCCGCTCCTCAGAATCCCTATACAAGGTCACTATGGATTAGAGCTGACTTGACGGCCCTTAACAACAACAAATTTCACAGGACCAACTGACAGTAGTTTGCTTGTCATCAGGCAGGATGTGTTCCCAGTGTAGTTTATCATAAAGCTTCAGGACAAGTGACCTTTTTAAATTGGGTCTTCATTTTATTTTCAATCATTGTATGTCTGTGAGTTATAGAATACAAAGCTTTCTCCTCTGCTCTAAAGTTAGGTAAAATATTAACATATATTGCCTCCTGTTTTATCCATGGTTTACTCCGGCCACTATCTTAGCCAAAAATTAGGAAAACAAGAATTATGATTCCTTCATTTCATACTAATTAAATCATCTATGGCACTGGAGGACAGGTCAATATATTGAACTATAAAATAATGCATGATATTCTATGAGTGTCGATGTGATTTTTTTAAAACAGAGAGAACTTTTTTCTCCCTGTTACGTACATTTATCTGCTTGTTACTTGGTAAGAGCAAATGACGATATTATATTTCAAATGATATCATTTGCATCAGATACAGTTGACACATACTGGCGCCACAAAATTATGGTTTGTTTTTCGTAATTAGTTCTTTTTATAATAATTTACTTATATAGCTATAATTACCGCTGTGTGGTGATTATCATTTTTAATGGTTGCTATAGTAACCAAAGTATTATTAAAATAAAAGTGGGTTTACTAGTTTCATTTGGGAAGAAAATTGTTTAATGTAATTTTTTAAATGGATTTCAGAAATTTAAAAGCTATGAAAATATTGAAAGTAATTTTAGTGCTGAGCTAAGAATATCATTACTTTATGATTTATCATTGCTTATTGTGAAGCATTCAGAGCACAGGTTAAAAGTTATTTTGTCATATTGTTTTGTAGGGGTCCAGGTGGTGGCAGACCTTGGCCAAATCCAACAAATGCCAATTCAGTGAGTATAGATACTTAATTTTTTTTTTGGTAATTTTTAACATTTAACAATAACAACAGTAAAAAATGTTTTTGAAAGTCATGCAATAAGGTGTGTTAAGGGTTTTTTATAATAATGATTCAAAAAAGTTGTAGTGTTCTATAAAAACTGCATTTTTTAAGAAAAACTATATGTTCCTGAAAACAATTTATTTCACTTGAATATCTAATATAGACATACACTCTGTGTAGATTAACCGATTTTTACAAAATGTACAAATTTTGTAGTTTAAGTATACTTCAGTTGGAATACAGTGGCTGATATTTGTTCTAAAAATGGCTTGAACTTCTACAATAACTAAGTGTACAGCTAAGATTACTTTCTCTTGGAGGAAATCAGGTTTTATGGTTGCATTTGTTGTACTAGTTGCATCTAAGTTTTTTTCTCACACTGCTCCAGGAAGTGGGGCGTGTATCATTTATCTTGTGTCTAGGATCTAACTTGCCATCCTCGGACATCCTATTTATGTACAGAGTGTGACTACTTAGATATTTTTCTCTCATTATAATGTCATATAATTATGTGTATAGATTAAAAATTAAGGCATCATCAGTCTTAATATGATCCTGGAGATGTTTTTCTTTCTTGATTTTGAAACCTGGAGTCCCTTAGTATGTCAAAGCAGACTGCTATGTGCGTTTGGGTAGTCTGTGCACTACACAAGAAATACAAGCTGCATTCCATGGGTGAAGCTTATGTGTATCTTCCCAGAAGGAGAATCTTTCACTAGTATGAACAAAGGCGTCACCTTCTTTGGCTGGCAGTGGCTTACTGCTATATATATACAAAAAACTAATCTATTGATTAAGGTTAATTTAAACTTCAGAAAAATCAAAAGTGAGGTGTAAGTGTTATCCTAAATCCATTGCTAATACTATTCTAAGGCAGAAATCTATTTCTTCTCAATTAAGTAGATGGTACTTACCATAATTTTAGAGAAAAATCACATTGTTAATTTATATTACATGCCTCTTTAGTTTAAATATCTATTGAATGAGATTATTTGGGGTGGCAAGGATTATGATGTTCTTTCCATTTGTTTCTTCAGTGTACTATGTGATTTCAACAAATCTTTGTAAGGTACTATTTTCCAGATAATGTGCTTTGATGTGAATAACTTCTCTCAAATTCTTGTAGTTTGTTTTTGATTTTGAAGACTTTTTTGTTGTTGTTGTTTTCCTCCTTGCATTCAAGATTTTAAGAGTATAGGAATTAAAAGGAAAAAAAAACCCACCAAAAAAACTGACTGCTTGAACTGACAGTTTTTCTGTCATGAGAATCTGGAAAGAATTTTAATTATCTTCATATCTGAAGAAGCAACACAATCTATGTTTGTCTTAATTATGTAAGCCTTCCACCTACAAATAGAAAGACCCTTTTGTCTGTGCTCACTGTCAGCTCAGTCAGCCATTCCCCTTCTGCTCATTGCAAGCAGCCAGAGCATACCTAGTGCTTCTTTTTATGCACCCATCCAGAAATAGTGGACTATTTCTCCAAAAGTCCACTTAGGAATATGGGCAGGGTTGATTTTTAAGATGGGGCATTGTACCTTAGAGGGGTATATTGTCCAAGTAAACAGTATTAGAGACACATCAGAAGAGCTCTTGTAGCAATGCATTCTGGTGAGTTTGGCTTTTATAGTTCCTCTATCTTTTCAGGATTTCATACAGCCAAGCACTGTGTGCAGAAGAATATAGGATATTAAGTCTTTTGTTGTTGTTGTTGTTGAGTGCTGTCGAGTTGGTTCCGACCCTTAGGGTTTCTGAGGCTGTAAATCTTAACGAGAGCAGAAAGCCTCATCTTTCTCACGCGGAGCAGCTGGTAGTTTCGAACTGCTGACCTTGTGGTTCGCAGCCCGATTCGTTAGCTCTGTAATATTTCAGAACCTGAAAAACACTAGGAATTAGGCTAGGAGCTAGACTCATCAAACTGTTATTCAACAGCTAATCTGAAATGGGCATCTAAGCAGCAGACATGGAGGCAGGTAATAAAATCAAAAGTAGTCCCCTCTGTTAGTTAGTTAGTATACACCTCAACAGGACACTTCTCACCTCACTCACTGTTTGAATAGAGAAATGAAGTGGTAGGCAGGCCGATCTTTTTCTCTCCAGAAAGAGAAAGGAGACATCATCCTGAATATGCAGAGAAACATTTCTCAAAAAGTGATTGGAGAACAAAAATAAGTAACAGTCTAGGAAAAAATCGGTGCCACTATGAAACAGAAGCAAAAAATATTGAGGAGTGAATCCCACCCCCCGGCCAGCCCCAGAATATCACTGATTATGTTGTTGTGGTAATGCATGTGTAATATGAACTCTATACTCCTTGGACTTACTTTCCATGTTTAATAGTACCAACAGTTTCATTTTGTCTCCAACAAAAAGGCAGCTTTAAATAGTTGTTCATTTTCTTTTGTTATTGCAGTTTTCAAATTGCTACATTCATTTATTTTAAATGTTTATTCTGAAGTAAACTCAGACTTACAGAAAAGTTGCAAGAATAATACAAATACTTCCTATATACTCATTATTCAGATACCTCAAGAGTTAGTATTTACATTTGATGATTTTCTCTTTACATGTATTCCCTGGACCATTTAAGTTATAGACCTGATGACCCTCCCTCCCTAAATAGTTCAGTGTGTTTCCTAAAAGCAGAGACATTATCATAACCCCAGGAAAATTGTCAAAATACAGAAATTAACATTTAAATGATACTAGTTCTTAATCTATAGAATTTATTCAGGTTTTGCCAATTGTTCCAATGTCCTTTATTAAAAACCCAACATCACTTTTTGCATTCAGCTGTCTTATCTCTTTTGTCTCCTTTATTCTGTAGCAGTTCCTTATTTTGCCTTCATCTTTCTTTGCCTTACAGTTTTACTGAATGCAAGCCAGTTATTTTGTAGACTGTCCCATATTTGGGGGCGTTTGATGTTTCCGCATGATTAAATTTGGGTTATGCATTATTATTGTTGCTGTAGGTGCCTTCGAGTCCTCTCCAATTCACAGAGTTCCTATGCACAATAGAAAGAAATACTTTCAGTCCTGCGCCATCCTCACAATCATTGTTACATTTGGGCACGTTTTTGCAGACACTGTGTCCATCTTGTTGTGGTCTTCCTCTTTTTCACTGACTCTACTTTACCATATATGACATTCTTTTCCAGGGACTGGTAACATTTCCCTCCTGATAACATGTCAACCCTCACTTCTAAGGAACATTCTGTTTTTACAAAACAATTTTGTTTGTTCTTCTGGCAGTCTGTGGTACTTTAAATATTCTTTGCCAACACCATGAATCAAATGCATCAATTCTCTGGTCTTCCTTGTTCATTGTCCAGTTTTCTCATATATATATGAGGCAATTGAAAATACCATTCCTGGCTCATGTGCACCTTAGTCCTCAAAGTAACATCTTTGTTCTTTAAACCTATAAAGAGGCATTTGCAGCAGATTTGCCCTGTG